AATAAATAATAATAAAATAATGATAATAATAAATAATAAAATAATAAAATCCAAGCTGCCTGGCAAATACATTTAGGCATTTAATTAAAATTCATTCCTAGCTGAGAATAGGAGTAGACTTCACCATGTAGTTTCTTTCTTTCTTTCTTTCTTTCTTTCTTTCTTTCTTTCTTTTTTTTTTTTTTTTTTGGTTTTTTTTAGAACCGGGCTCCCCTTAGCCCCAGCTGTCCTGGAAACCACTATGTAGACCAGGCTGGCCTTGAACTCACAGAGATCCGCCTGCCTCTGCCTCCCGAGTGCTGGGATTAAAGGTGTGCGCCACCATGCCCGGAGTAATTTCTTTTTTTAAATTACTTTGTATGTATTAGTGTATTGCCTCCATGTGTATAAATGCACCCATTTTATATAACACCTGTGGAGGTCAGGAGAAGGTGTCAGATCCCCTGGAATTGGAGTTGTTTAGCTGCCATGTGGGTGCTGGGGACCAAACCCAGGTCCTCTGCAAGAGCAGTCAGTGCTCTTAGCTGCTGAGCCATCTCTCCAGCCCCAACCATGTAGTTTCTTGAGCTGGTTTGGGCAGCAGCCTGCTCTAGACTCAGTGAGGCACCTTTTAGGGTAGGAATGGGAGCAGATGGGAGCATGTGTCTCTACTGTTTAGGGTTATGACAGCCTGTCGCATATATGAGAGATGCTGCTACTTTTCTCTTGGAGCAGGTGAGTCCCAGCCAAGGGCTCGGGGTTAGCATGCTTAACTCACTGACCAGGGCTCCTCTCCGTCACTTTTATACCAGTTGATTGAGCCCTAAATTAATAGACAAACATTCCATCAATGAAGTAAGCCCTTAGCAGATGATGTTGCTGTATCCTTAAAAACATTTAATGTTCTTTTATACAAATTAAATTAGTTAGGTCTCCTGATATCATTAGTTTTTCTGATTTTGTTACAGTTAGAAAAGGGGATATCTCAAAGTTAAGAGCAGAGCATTCTTCAGATTCTGGCTTTGTAGCAGAGGCATGGAGCCTCCCCTTGTCCCTCCTGTCACCAGCCTCTCTGTTACTACCTAGCATTCTCAGTGTTGAGGGTCAGTTTGCTATGCCTGAAAGTTCACTCACCTGTTGCTGCCCCCTTAAGCCATAAGGCATTAAACTCTAACTGTAACCAGAATTGCTGTAAGGGCCTGCAAATCCCTCCATTTTCTGATGGTTTCTTTTTTGCTGCCCAGGAATCCCTTCCTTTGATGCCACAGTCCCCTATGAAGGAGCCTTCCAAAGCATTTCACCAATACAGCAACAATATCTCCACTTTGGATGTGCACTGCCTCCCACAGTTCCAGGACAAAGCTTCCCCGCCTCCATCACCTCCCATCACCTTCCCTCCTGCCTTTGAAGCAGCCAAAGTCGAGGCCAAGCCTGATGAGCTCAAGGTGACAGTCAAGTTAAAACCGCGGCTGAGGACTGTCCATGGTGGGCTTGAAGACTGCAGGCCACTGAACAAAAAGTGGAGAGGGATGAAGTGGAAGAAATGGAGCATCCATATTGTAATCCCCAAGGGGACCTTTAAGCCACCATGTGAAGATGAAATCGATGACTTTCTAAGGAAGCTGGGCACTTGTCTTAAACCTGACCCTGTGCCCAAAGACTATCGAAAGTGTTGCTTTTGTCACGAAGAAGGTGATGGGCTAACAGATGGACCAGCACGGCTGCTCAACCTTGACTTGGACCTGTGGGTCCACTTGAATTGTGCTCTCTGGTCCACAGAGGTCTACGAGACTCAGGCTGGTGCCTTAATAAATGTAGAGCTAGCCCTGAGGAGAGGACTGCAAATGAAGTGTGTCTTCTGTCATAAGACAGGTGCCACCAGTGGGTGCCACCGGTTTCGATGCACCAACATTTATCACTTTACTTGCGCCATTAAAGCACAATGCATGTTTTTTAAGGACAAAACTATGCTTTGTCCCATGCACAAACCAAAGGGAATCCATGAGCAGGAGCTAAGTTACTTTGCAGTCTTCAGGAGGGTGTATGTGCAACGCGACGAGGTACGGCAGATTGCTAGCATCGTGCAGAGAGGGGAACGGGACCATACTTTTCGGGTTGGAAGCCTCATCTTCCACACGATTGGTCAGCTGCTTCCCCAGCAGATGCAAGCCTTCCACTCTCCAAAAGCACTCTTCCCGGTGGGCTACGAAGCCAGCCGGTTATACTGGAGCACACGCTATGCCAATAGGCGCTGCCGCTACCTGTGCTCCATCGAGGAGAAAGGTGGGCGGCCAGTGTTTGTCATCAGGATTGTAGAGCAAGGCCATGAAGACCTGGTGTTAAGTGACTTGTCACCTAAAGGTAATGTCTGCTCTTAGGCAGGGCATGCTTTATGTCTGTTTCTCTCGTGTTCACTATAGACCAGCAGATGAGGTTTTTTAACACAAAGCTTTTTTTGTTAGCATACTTTACTTTCTTCTTGTGCAGTTTATAAACATTTTCCTAGTCAGTACAGATTTGAACATAAGAGTTGGTAGTAAGGCCTGTCTGTCATTTCCCTCGGAGTCCTTCTTCAGGAACCACATCAAAGCATGTTGTTTATGGGTACTGTTTCGTTTCTGCCTCAGGTTTAGAGCTGGGAATTAGAAACAGCATTTTATACTCCTGGGCAGCTCTGGATTCTCATTTGATGCAAAAAAGTATTACAGAACTGTTTTTAAAAAATATTTTGATGATTAGAATGTTTTATTTTGTGCATATGAGTATTTTGCCTGTGTGTATATAAATGCACCTGTGCATGCACTGACTGTGGAGACCAGAAGAGGGTGCCAGATCTCATGGAACTGGAGCTATAGATAGTTGTTAGCTGCCATGTGGGTGCTGAGAACCAAACCTAGGTCCTCTTCAAGAGCAAAACAGCCAGTGCTCTTAATTGCTGAGCCATCTCTCCAGTCCCTTAGCTTTTGCTTGTTAAATTTTTAAGTCTGAAATACTCTAAAGATATTTCCAAATAAAATGCCAGTTTCATGTCTTAATTCACACCTGAGGGAATTCATAGCTCTAACTATTACTAATTGGACTAATCCTTTTTAAGTCTGCTGTGTTTTTGTTCAATATCAACGTGAATTCATTAATTTCTTTTACTGCTTGATGTCCTTAATGTGGCATTATTTTTTTTTCTTTTTTTCTTTTTTTTTTGGTCTTTTTGAGACAGGGTCTCCCTGTAGCCCCAGCTGACCTGGAACTTGCTATGTAGACCAGTCTGGCCTCGAACTCACTGAGATCCACCTGCCTCTGCCTCCCAAGGGCTGGGATTAAAGGCGTGCGCCACCACGCCTAGCCTGGCATTATTTTTCTTTAAATTTGAGGAAGTCTTTAAAATAAGCTGCTGCCATTAAGAAACATGTTCATTAGATTGCTGTCCGTGAGGTTTTGAGACCGTAGTCATCACAAGTGGTTGTTCTTCTCTGGGTTTTCTACTGGGTCCTGAAAATTCACTATATAAATTATGTTCTTGTTCACAAACAGGTGTTTGGGATAAGGTTTTGGAGCCTGTGGCACGTGTGAGGAGAAAGTCTGAAAGGCTGCAACTGTTCCCCGCATACTTGAAAGGAGAGGACTTATTCGGCTTAACAGTTTCCGCAGTGGCACGGATAGCTGAATCAGTGAGTGTCTTGGTTAAGGTCCAAAATTATTGTTTCCCAATTCAGCAAGTCTACTTTACCAGGAATGGTTATGTTCCTGCTTTCCAAAACATGGCTTTGCCTGTTTACTGACGCACTTCTCATAAGGAAAAGAGACACTGGTGCTTAATTAAGATTTTTCGTAGAGATTACAGAGGAGCAGTTAAGGTGTTACCGTGTCTTCTCTATGCCAGATGGATGAAGGGACCCCCCGCCCCTTGCCCTTGGCCTTCTGAAATTCTGGTGTTCTTCAGAAAAAAAAAAATTCTTCCCCTTTTCCTAACCCCTTTCTTGACATTCTCCTGCCCTTGTCCTAGCAGGAGGGGTTCCCAGAGAGCACTGGGCTGTATAGTGTGTTTGGTAGTGAGTCTAACTGCGTAACTGTGGAGGAATACATTTCACTAGAACGCTATTCTGGAGCCTGGAGGTGAAGCTTAACCTCAGCATCTCAGGAGGCTGAAGAACATTTGCAAGTTGAAGGTCAGCCTGGGCAGTGCTTGAGACCCGCCTCAGAACAAGATGCAAAGACGACTCAGGCCACAGCTCAGTGGCGACGTGCTTTCCTTGCATGCCTGAGGTCCCAGGTTTAGTTCTCAGAACTGCAAAAAAAGGGATAACAAGAAAAAAATGTTCTAGAAACGAAGACCAAGCCAGTGAGATGATTTAGCAGGTAAAAGTGCTCGCTACCCAGCTTGACAACTTGAGTTCAGTCCCCAGGACCAGCTTGGTGGAAGGAGAGAGCCAACTCCCACAAGGTGTCCTCTGACCTCCACATGCACCATGGGGCTACACATTCACATGCACATGTTAAACAAGCAAAAGTCATTTTAAAAATTTAAAAGGCCCTTGAACATATTAATTATCTTTAATTTACTACTGACACTGCTAGAACAGTGAGAGTGATGGCCTCATATTAGGGTCACATTTGAAAGAAGTGAGAGATGCTGGGCATGGAGGTGCACACCTTTAATCCCAGCAGGTGAATCTCTGAGTTCAAGGCCAGCCTGGTCTACATAGTGAGCTCCAGGCCAGCTGGGGCTACAGGGAGAAAAAAGGATATATTATATTATATTATTATTATTTTATTTTATGTATATGAGTGTATTGCCTGCATGTAAGTGCATCTGTGTCATGCAGTGCTCACTAAGTCAGAAGAGGGCTTTGGATTTCCCTGGAACTGGAGTTATAGTTGTTACCTGCCGTGTGGGTGCTGGGAATCTAACCTGGGTCCTTTGTGAGAGCAGCCAGTGCTCTTAACTACTGAGCCATCTCTCCAGCCCTAAAAGTTTTTTTTTTTTTGGCATGGGGCAGGGTGGTCTTTTTGAGATAGGGTCATCCTGTAGCCCCAGCTGGTCTGGAGCTTACTATGTATAGCAAGCTAAGCTACTTAGAACTCACAGAGATCTACCTGCCTCTGCCTGCTGAGTGCTGGGATTAAAGGTGTGCCCACCATGCCCAGCTCATTCTTAATTTTCAAAGTCCAGACAAATACATTCACTAGATTGTAAACCCTGTTTGTGGGTGTTGAAAAGATCAGACCCTGAAGCCATGCATAGGAGTGTTTAGGCTGCTGTGCTTGTTCTGGGAGTTAAGCTTTTCTTTCAGGAACATTTTCCTGGACTTGCCAAGTTCTGCTCTGAAATTGAATTTGCACATTCAAAAAATGTGACTGTAGGCTCATTGTATTCAATAGGTTAAAAGATCATTTTGTTATAGGAAAAATGTTTATAAAGTCGCCTTGGGCCACCTCAAGATTATAGCCTTGTCCAGATGAAGTACTTGTGCTTTTCCTTTTTAGCTGCCTGGGGTTGAGGCATGTGAGAACTACACCTTCCGATACGGCCGGAACCCTCTCATGGAGCTGCCCCTGGCCGTGAACCCCACAGGCTGCGCCCGCTCCGAACCTAAGATGAGTGTCCATGTCAAGAGGTTCGTGTTAAGGTATTTCGTTTTACCTTCACACAGTACAGCCCAGGGTTTCTAGGCATTTCAGTGGTTTTGTGCTTGATTTGTCTGCTGCTTACAAACCCTGCTGTCTCCGGCTGTGTATGTACCTGACAACGTCAGAAGACGCGCTGTGTGTCTGCTAGGCAGCTCTCTGTGTGCTCTGTCAGTAAGACATCAGCTTGGCCCGGCTTCTGCTGTCCAGAGGTGTCTTCAGTTCCCCTTTTGTTCTCCTGCTGTGCTTGTCTGCAGGCCTCACACCTTGAACAGCACCAGCACCTCCAAGTCATTCCAGAGCACAGTCACTGGAGAGCTGAACGCACCCTATAGTAAGCAGTTCGTCCACTCCAAGTCATCTCAGTACCGGAGAATGAAGACTGAATGGAAATCCAATGTGTATCTGGCTCGGTCTCGGATCCAGGTGAGCATGTCCAGGAACAGACGTGATGAAGTGGCTCCACCTCGTGACGCTGACACCCAGAATAGGAGCAGTTATTCCACACGACTGCAGAGACAGTCATGTGTGCTGTTTGTTTGGTGTTTGGAACTCAGGGCAAGTGCTGTGCCACGAGCCACAACCCGGTCCCGGAATCGTGCTTTCAAAGTCATGTCCAGTCTAGGCAGCTTGTAACTCTAGGAATCAGTAGAGCTGTTTTCAAGCACATGTGAAAAATAAAAATGAATTCCAGTACTTGGAAGGTAGAGGCAGGAGTATCAAGAATTCAGTCCATCGTTGGCTACGTAGCAAGTTCAAGGCCAAACAAATTCCAAAATTTTTTCATAAGGTACTCCAGTTTGGGAAGCTGCCTTATCCTTGAGCTTTGCCTGTGTCGTTGCATGTATCAGGTGTACAGTAGATGAGTATCTGAGTGTAAGTCCACCTACAGGCTAAACATTTAAACCATACGCAGAGTCCTGAGGTCCTAAAGTGCAGTCTCAGGCCGAGGTGCCCAGCTGGTGTCTCTTCTGTCTTAGAATGGAATCGTAAAGCTCTCACTTGGCAAAACTTCTTCAGTCTTCATGCATGATCGTCCTCCAAGCTCCTTACGTTGCTGACTAGTATCTGTCATGGCCTCCGTTGGCCTCATTGCTCGTAGATCCATACTGCCATACAGTTCTGCGCCCCTGCAAGTTCCAGCTTCTACCCAGAAGCCAGTGTGCTATGTACAGTAGAACTCAGATCGCTCTTTCCCCTTTTGAACAATTGTTAGAATCTTCTCTTTACCCTCTCACAGACCTGCCCAGGGTAAGGTCCTTTTTATCTCGCCCTGTCTGGAGCACTATGACCTTCAGTCTGAAAAGCAGTCCGTTTTTCATTCTTTTGAAGTTCCTGTCCTCTGTTTTCTCTGTTCGCATCTGTAGACCGAGGTTGGACTCCTAACATCACCAACTGTAGCCCTCCACACCAGCAGCTGCCACTGGGAACTTGAAGCTGACGCAGCTCTGGAGGGGCTTGGGCCCATGGGGGGACCCTGAAAAGTTCTGACTTCTTTAGAGCTTCTCTCCCTCTTTTGTTTTCCTTGTCTCTGTTCTTCCTGAAACTTCCTCTACTTTATCTGCCTATCTTTTTTGCACATTTTTAAAACAATCAGCTCTAAGCCCTTTGTCCTCTTGATCGTCTCTCGCTGGGCCTTCTCGGCCTGGGAGCACTCTCTGCCGCTTTCCGTGCTTTTCTCCCCGGTCATTTTTTTGTTTTAGGTATTTTGAGATTGATCATTCTGTACCCTAACCATTTTTGAGAAATGTTTCTAGTGCGATCTTAACTATGTCTTTAACTTGTCCTTAACCTCAGTCATATTTTTATCACTTTACTTCCTACTGTGTCCGTATGTGCTTTTGCATGAGTGAGGGTGTGCCACAGCACACAGCGAGTGGCAGTCAGGGAGCTTTAAGGAGTTGGTTATCTCCTTCTGCCTTTACATGAGTTCCAGGGATCTAACTCAGGTTGTCAGGCTTGGCCAGCACTGGCCACCTTGCTGGCCCAGCTGGAGTCATCCTTGAGCGTCCTGTCATTTTCTTTCATCCCCTCTCTGCTCACACTTCAGGAGACCGTGGTGATTCTAGTAGATTCTTGTGCTCTGTGCTTATGTCTTAGGAATGCACACACATACACACCCTTATCTAAATAGTATCTCTCTTTTCTCTACTGAACACAGAGGTCCTTCTGCAATCTCCTATCCTCATTAATGGCTGTGTGACTTCATGATGCTAATGAGCTGTGGTTACACCATCCCACTGTGAGGGCTGTTTATTTTGTTGACAGCATGCCTCACAGCAAACATTGCTATCAATATCTTGTATAAATATCCTTGTGTATCAATAGTTTAATTCCTGTGGGGTATAATCCAAAAAGTAAAGCTCCTATGTAAAGCCATATGTTTCTAATTTAGTAAATAATTCATTTACCAAAAAGGCCAAAATTGCTCATTTTTCCTGCAGTCTGCGAGACTATTCTTTTCCCATGCGTAGTAGGTATTCCTGTCTTGTACTTGGTAGGCTGGTAAGTGGCCTGACCCAGATCTTCCTTTTTTTTGGGGGGGGTTTTTTGAGACAGGGTCTCCCTGTAGCCCCAGCTGGCCTGGAACTTGCTATGTAGACCAGGCTGGCCTTGAACTCACAGAGATCCACCTGCCTCTGCCTCCCAAGTGCTGGGACTACAGGCGTGCGCCACCACACCCAGCTGGTTTCTTCATTTTTTACTTGCTTTTTTTTGTTTGTTTTAATTTAATTTGGTGCGGGGGGGGTTCTTTTTGAGACAGGATCTCTCTGTAGCCTCAGCAACCCTGGAACTTTCCCACCCCCCACTCCCACCCCCGTCTCTTACCACCAGGCCAGGCTAGGTCTCTTCATTTTTTAAAAGAGATAAGTCAGTTCACATGCGAAAGTCATTATCTTGCTAACCCCCTCCCATGCCCTCTGAGGGGAATATCTCTGATAGACTCCATGGGTCAGACATCATCTTCCCTCCGATTGTCTTCAGCAGACCTGAAAGCAGAAACCCAAATTAGGACAAGAAAATGAAAATCATTTATGAGAATTACGTCTTTCTCAGTATGATGTTTTCCTACAACCTTATTTGCCAGTGACTTTAATTTTTTTTTTTTTAATGTGTACGTGTTTATTGCCTGCGTGTAGGTAAGTGCACCTGTGTCGTGCAATGCCCACAGGGGACAGAAGAGCCTGTCGGATCCCCTGGAACTGGAGTTACGGACAGTTGTTAGCTGCCATGTAGGTGCTGGGATTCGAACCCGGGTCTTCTGCATGAACAACCAGTGTTCTTAACCGCTGAGCCATCTCTCCAGCCCCATTACTACTGACTTTAAAAACAGTGCATTACGTGATTCACCCCAGAAACTGACCTGGACACTGTAAGCTGCCAAATGAGAAAAGGGCTGAAATGTATGACCTCAAGTTCTCTGTGAGCCCAGCTACTTGGGAGACGTAGACAGGTGGATCATTGGTTCAAGAATGGCCTGGACAATTTAATGAGACCCTTTTTGAAAAAATTAAAGAGTTGGGATGCATTTCCACGCTTGTCTGGATGTGCAAAGCCCTCAGTTCAATCCTCAGCACTGGGTTTATTTCCAACTCTCCTGGTAATAAGAGCAAAGAAATGTTTTCTGTTTCTCTACTTTCCTTGTGTCTAGGAAGCGCTACTCGATAGTATTCATGACTCTATAGTTACCCTCTTCCTGTTCTATGAAGTATCTTGTTCTTTTTGTGATAGTAGTGGGCTAAACTGCATACCAGAAGGCACTAACTCACTCAGTTGATGGTGAGTTAACATGGCATCATATGGACAGTAAGCGAATCAAATAGAAAATCTATACAGCCAGTCAACAGTAGTATGTACACATTGTCACAATCCCATTTTGAGTTGCTGGCACAGGATATTGCAGACTAATGTTGGCTCACTGTACTGGTGGTGACGAAGGCTAATGTTAAGGGGCCACATCTGGTGAGGGCCTCTTACTGTGTCTTTCCAGAGTGGAAGGCAGAAGGGTTGGGGGTAGGGGGTTATAGGATAACTCCTACTATAACTGCACTGATCTATGCATGAGGACAGAGTCCCAGCGACCAAGTCACCTCTTAACAGTCCCAAACCTAGCCTAGATACATTCCAGGAATTTAATGTAAAACAGGACATAGAAACAAAGTGGTGATGCCATAGTTTTAAATGGCAAG